ACACACACACACACACACACACACATATAAAATGTGCGTGCGTATATATATAAAATATGTGTATATATAGTATATATGGATATATATAATACGGTTGCTATGTATATCCTTTTACATATATGTGTATGTGTATCCTTTTATGTATTTATATAAAATCTATATAAATAAAAGGAGATTTATCATGAGGAATTGACTTAAGTGATTATGGAGGATGAGAAGCCCCACAGGCTGCTGTCTGGAAGCTGGGGACCCGGGAAAGCCAGTGGCATAATTTCAGTCTGAGGCCTGAGAACCAGGGGAGCTGATGGCGTACATCCCAATCCTGGGGCAAGAGAAGACTGATGTCCCAGTTCAAGCAGGCAGGCAGGACAAGAGAAAAGGGGTGAGTTCCTCCTTCCTCCGTCTTTCATTCTGTTCAGAGCTGCTGTAGATTGGATGATGCCCAGGCACAATGGGGAGGGTCACTGCGTTTACTGGGTCCACTGATACCCATGCTAAGCTCCTCTGGTAACACCCTCACAGATGTGCCAAGAAAGAATGTTTAATCTGGGGGGGTCCCATGACCCAATAAAATGTTATCATATGATTTTATATTTGACACATTTAACCATCACCAATCAGTATGTGGCAGAGGCACATCTTCAGTTTTACCAGATACTTTCGGATTCCTTTCTGACCCCCCTTCTCCATGGCCATCGCTGGCTTCTCTTCTGCCCACCCCTCAAGCATAAGCATCCCTCGGGGGTCTCCCTTGGACTCCCTTCTGTTTTCCTTCTAGACTTTCTCCTTGGTGAATATAATCCATGCTGTGTCTCTACAGTGAGGTGAGAGGAGGGGAGGGAATTCCCTGGTGGGCCAGTGGTTAGGACTCCACGCTTCCACTGCAGGTAGTGTGGGTTCAATCCCTAGTCAGGCACAGCCAAAAAAAAAGAGAAAAAAGAAAAGAAAAGAAAAGGGTGGGGGGGAGAGAAGAAATAAAAGAGAGAGAAATGGTGGCTTAAACAAGAGAGATACCTCTTTTTCACGCCTGGTCAAAATGACTGGCACTGGTTGTTTGGAAAAGCCTGAAATTCCAGGGGCTGCTTTGATATCTTTGAGCCTCGTAGGGCCTCAAAGGTCTAACTGTGTTTCCCTGCTTTTGTCAGATATGCATCCCCACCCCCAACCACCTGACTTGTTTCTCTATCAGCCAGACCAGCCACACCCCATGTGGTCCTCGACCTAATGGGTTTCACATCTCTGCCAGACTGAGAAATTATTCAAACAAGACAATCACATCCTCTGATGGGAACCAGAGGTCACCCCTCCCTTTTGTCACTACCAAGCCCATCTCCCACAGCCCCTGCTTCTTGGTTCAGCTGCTGAGTGCACCCCCAACCATGTGGCTCAGTGCCCTCCTCCAATTCTGGCCTGTGAATGAATCATCAGATGATCTCATCTATCCATATTAGGAGTCATGTGTTTGGCCATCTTGTACTATTTAGGGCATGTGATTCCTCTTTCACCAACGGGGTCAATAGGAGGTGGTCAAAACACTGGTCAGTCCATGGGTAGCACAGCCTTCCATGGTATGTGAGACCCAGGTTCCTGCTATCTTGTTGCTCCACCATTCAAGGCCTCTAGTCCCAAGGCAATGTCATGGCCCAAAATGGCTGATGGAGTTCCAGCCATCACATCTACATTCCATCAGTAGGAAACAGAAAAGCACCCCCTTTCCTCAAAGTTGTACATACCACCTCTGCTTACATACGGCCACATCCACCTGCAAGGGAGCCTAGGAAATGTAGTTCTTTATTCTAGGCAGCGATATGCCTGGCTAAATATCAGTAATTTTATGGACTGGGTCCAGATCCTGAGGGGCTTATCAGCCACATGAAGGCTGACTGAGGAATTTGGCCTTAGTCTGTGTCTCAAGGCTGGATGCCATCATAGGATGAGGAGGGGCAGGCCCAAGGTGTGCCTTGGGATCATTAACTGCTACTGAGTTAAGACCCCTCCTTTCTTCTTCTAATTGGGAAAAAACTACATTTTCCATCAGCTTCTTGCTCCCTCCTACATCAACCCTGCCTCTTCTTCCCACCAACCAAAATAAGACCAGATTGCTGCACTAGCTGCCCACAGTGTTACTGCAACCCTCTGACTCCACAGTCATCCCTACTCTGAGATCAGAGCCTCAGGGAAACCAAGAGACACCAACAGCCCTTCCTCATGCAAACTTCCCCACACGTACAGACACAATTCTACATGCATTTCATAAAGGTGTACTAAATGCTGATTCTGCCAGGCTCTACATTGGTGGACCATACTCCTTTGCTATCCCTGCAGAACTCCCTCCTGGAAAGGGCAGGGCAGTGGAGGACTGAGCTGAGCTGGGCAGAGCTGGGATGGGCTGGACTGGGCTGGGCACGGCAGAGTGTAGAGAAGGGAGTTTGTTGCAGGAAGATAAGGCCAGTGGGTCATTTACAAGAGTGGTGATTATGTTCCTAGCCAATCAGCACATTCCATCTCTCTGTGGCCACAGGGACTGATTCCAGATGGACATGTGACCAAAGCTAGGCCAATGACATATAACCTTGGGGCTTTCAGCTGGACTAAAGCTGGAGATATCTTGGCACTGCACAGAGAATCCTGCCAGTAGAGCTGAGAGGTAGAGAGAGACTCCATCCTTAAGGTGTCATTTGAGCCCCGGGATCCAGCTATGCCTGAAGGACAGCCCCTCAACATTTCCATTCATGAGTTAATAAATACCCTTGTTTGTATTAGTTAGTTTGGCTTGGATTCTCTATCCTTTGCAACTTTAAGAAGCCTGCTAGAAACTCACACAGCTTGGTTCTCATTGGCTCTTCCCTGGGGTTAGGATCAGTGCAGTAGTTCAGTAACTCTGTGGGGCTGACCGCATTACTCTGTTAGGGAGACTAAGGGGCATCTACACAATGTCCAAGCTAGTGGTGGTCAGTCCCACAGGGAGAGCTTGGAGTGGGGCCCATTGTTCTCTTCTGGTCGAAGCTAAGACATGTCTTCTGTCCTAGCCCTGAGGGACCCCTCTCCTGAGGCCACACAGTCCTGGGAAACGTGGTCAAACGAGTACATTTTTGGGTCCAAGTTTCCTCCTCTGTGGAAGAGGGATTAATAATACAGACACCCTCTGTCTCCATCATTCTCCCACATCTTCCAAATCCCTTCTTCCCGCCCACCTGATATACTCCACTTCCATCACCCCATGGCTTGACCCCCCCCCCCCCCCCCGATTAATAATACAGACACCCTCTGTCTCCATCATTCTCCCACATCTTCCAAATCCCTTCTTCCCGCCCACCTGATATACTCCACTTCCATCACCCCATGGCTTGACCCCCCCCCCCGCACCAAGCCCCCTGTAGTTGGTGATGTCTGGGGCCTACCATGCCCCCCTCTGGCCTCACCCGCAGGCATGTAATATCTCTTTAGGGATGGAGTCTGCTCTACCCAAACTGCCAGGGAATTCAGATCGCTTGGGGGCAGCTCTCAACCAGTGACTGATGGAGGGAGTTGGAGGATCAATACCCCAGGTCTCTCACCACTCGGGTGAGATGACTCTGATCCCGCAGGGTTCCCCAGCGGGACTGAGCCCCAGCTGCCTATAGTGAGAATTTGCTTAATTACAAGAGTGACCAAACTATCCCCATGTGACCAGGACTGAGGGTTCCCCAGATGCAGGATTCTGAGAGCTAAAGTTGGCAAGTTCCAGGCAAGTTGATTACCCCAGTGATAACTCATCGATTCATGACTGTTCCCTTCCTTCTCTCTGCCACATCCCTGCTCCCCTACAGCTGCTGTCTCCCAGACAAATGCACTCAGTCTTCATCTCAATCTGTTTCTGAGAGACCCCAATCTCCTTCATGCCCTTTGAGCAGCCCATCAGCCACTCCAACCCAAGCTGAGCACTTGTGGGGCAGACGCTGGGCTTGGAAATTTCTGCCCACTACCTGCCTTTGCCTTGTGACCACCTTTTGAAGAGGGGTCTTCTGTCAGCTGCATTTTATGCGTTGGAAAGCTGAGGTTTGGCAGGAAAATGACTTGTCTGAAGTCTCACGGGTAAGTGGTGTGTCTCGGGGGATCGGAACTGGGGCAGAGACGGGCTTCCTCATCCCTCAGCACACAGTTCCGCTCTGCTGTTGAGGGCCTGGCATGTGCTGGGCACTGTCTCACCCCCTTCTTTTTTTTTTTTTTTTTTTTTCCTTGCCGCGCAGCATGCGGAATCTTAGTTCCCTGACCGGGGATGGAACCCGTGCCCACTGCAGTGGAAGCGTGGAGTCCTAACCACTGTACTGATGTGGGATCTTCCCAGACCGGGACGCGAACCTGTGTCCCCTGCATCGGCAGGCGGGCTCTCAACCACTGCGCCACCAGGGAAGCCCTCACCCCCTTCTTATGCATGATTTCATTTAATCCTTACACCACTACCGGGAGGCGAGGCAACTATTCCCCCACTTTGCAGAGCGGGAAACCAAGGCCTGGAGAGGTGGCAGAGCCCAGGTTCAAGCCCAGGCAGGCTGCCACTGAACGCACATCCTTAACCACCAGGCTGGTGCCTCAATATGTGTAATTTCCTTTTGGGCGGCGGCTGTGGCTATTTGGGGATGGGGGAGCCTGGCTGCCAGTGAGGCCAGCTGGCAGGGGGGAGGAGGGGCCCAGATGGCAGACCTGGCTGGGAGCCCACAGACCAGTGTCTGGACTGGCAGGCTAGGCCCAGGCCTGCCCTGACCCATCATTGCCAGCCCCGGTTCCTTGGGGACCCTCCTGTGCCCTGAAGCGTCCTCCACTCCTCTGCCCCCACCTCTACTTCTGCGGTTGGCCCAAATACCAGACAGGGCAAATCGCAGCTTTCCCCCAAACATTCCTCGCTCCTGTGGCCCGGCCCAGGCTGGCCGAGGTTACGCAAGCAGAGCTGGGGAGGCGGGGGGCGGGGGGGGGCGCGGAGGATTGGGGGGAGATGGGTGGGACCGAGGGGACAGGCTGGCCTGTCCTCATCACCCCATCCGGCGCCTGCCTGCCCTCCGCAGGGCGGGGAAAGGGTGGGCCAGCTCCCCTGAGCCCCTGGGAGAACAGGCTGGCGGGGGGAGGGTAGCCAGCGCCAAGAGATGGAGGGCAGTGGCGGCCACAGCAGAACCTCCAGGAGGTGACCGCCTGCTTTCCATTAGGGAGCCCTGGTCAGCAGTTCCGGAAAGACGGCAGACCTGGGGCTGGCTATGGTAAGTTGGGGCAGGGGAGGGTCTGAGGGTGGGGCCTGCCTGCCCGCCCCGCTCCATGCTGGGATGCTCCTGTCGCCATGGTGACCTGGTGCCCAGCCTGGGGACAACCTGAGCCGTCCCTCAACTCCCAGTGGCTGAGCCTACTGCTGATGCCCCTGCTGCTGCCCGGGCCCCCGCCCGCCCTCGGCATGGAGGACGCCTCGTTCCCCCACCTGGGGGAGAGCTCGCAGCCCCCGCCCCGGGCCTGCCCCCTACGCTGCTCCTGCCCCCGGGCTGACACAGTGGACTGTGCCGGCCTGGAGCTTCGGGTGTTCCCGGACAACATCACCAGGGCAGCTCAACACCTCTCCCTGCAGGTGGGGCCTGGGGTGGGGGGGTGGGGCAGGGTAACTCCCAGGGGAAGCGGGGAGCCTGGGGAGTGGTTGGGTTGAGGGTGATGGGGTATGGGGTCCACGTGCAGGGGTTGAGGCATTGGGCGTGAGGGTCTTGGCACTGATGCGAGTTGGCCTTGAGGAGGGTGCAGGGCTCTGTGTGTCCCGTGAGAAGGAGGTGGGGGCATAGATATTGGAAGTGGGAGGGGCTGAGGGTTCAGGGGTGTCGGGGAGGTCAACGTCTGGTGATTGCGGGGTTGCTTGGGGTCAGCGTGGCGGGGCATTTGAGATCAACTGTAGGGGTGCACGGGGCGCTGGGGGCCACTCTCTTTTTGGTTACAGGGTTGTTCCGAGGTAATAAGGCATTTGGGATCAAGTAGAGGGTGTCAGAGCTCACTGCTCAGGCTGACGGGAAGCTGAGAAGCAGGGCCCAGGCAGGGACACGGGGGTCAGGGTGTGAGCGCCCCCCTCCCTGCCCCACAGAACAACCAGCTCCAGGAGCTCCCCTACAACGAGCTGTCACGCCTTAGCGGCTTGCGGACCCTCAATCTCCACAACAACCTCATCTCCTCCGAGGGTGAGGGGGACAACGGGAGGCGGCCCCTCCCCACCACGGTCCCGCTGCCCTCTCCCTCCCCAGCTCGGTCTGCGGGCAGGTCTGCGGCAGTTCCCGGCACTGCCCTTTGCTGAGCAGGATGGAAACTCAGGGGATGGGGGGCAGGGGCTGTGGCTTTTGAGGATGTGGGGGGCGGGGCCTGGAGGAGCCTCTGCCAGTCCCTGGCTGAGTGGGAGCACAGACTCCGCCCTGCCCCCACCCCACACCAGCGGTCCCCTCACGGCCCACCTCATTCATAGGCCTGCCTGACGAGGCCTTTGAGTCCCTCACGCAGCTGCAGCACATCTACGTGGCCCACAACAAGGTGAGGCCCCCTCACACACACACACACAGGGGTGCGGCCAGGATGGGGTCACATAGCACAGAGGGTAGATGGGACAGCGGGCGATGGGTGCAGGAGGGGGGGCCACCAGGACCAGTGCAGCTCTGCTCCCGCAGCTCTCTGTGGCCCCCCAGTTTCTGCCCCGCTCCCTCCGTGTCGCGGATCTGGCTGCTAACGAAGTGACAGAGATCTTCCCACTCACCTTTGGGGAGAAGCCGGAGCTCAGGTAGCCCCCGGCCCAGCCCAGGCCCCAGGGGTCTCAGATATGCCTGGAGTCACTCCCCACCCTGGGGGGGTCTGGTATGGAGACAGGGCCCTGGACGCTCTGTTTGGAGAACTCAAGACTGAAGCAGAGAGCACGCACGCTCACACACACACACACACACACACACACACACACACACACACACTCTCTCTCTCTCTCTCTCTCTCTCTCTCTCTCTCTCTCTCTCTCTCTCTCTCTCTCTCTCTCTCTCTCACTGAAGGTGGCTGGGGTGCGGGGCGGTGGGGAGGCCAGGGCGAGGTTGGTGGCCGGAGCCTCGCTCCCCTCAGGTCCGTGTACCTCCACAACAACCAGCTGAGCAATGCGGGCCTGCCCCCCGACGCCTTCCACGGCTCCCAGGCAGTCCTCACCCTCAGTCTCTCCAGCAACCAGCTCAGCTATGTGCCGCCCAGCCTGCCATCCTCGCTGGAGCGGCTCCACCTGCAGGTGCCCCTCCTTCCCCTCACCATCCCCGTGTCCCCACCTCCCTGGGCTCCCTGCACCTCTCTCCTGGGGGACCCCGACACCTCCTTGTTATCCCAGTAGTCAGAAATGTCTTTGAGTCCCTTCCACTGGCACTGGTCGCTCACAAGCTCTCTGTGGGCAGCCTTGCTCAAGCGAACTCCTTGTCCCTTACTCAAGAGCCCTCTGTGGCTCCCCACTGCCCTCTGTCCCGGACCCTCAGTCTCATCCTCTCCCCCCTTTCCCAGAACAACCTCATCTCCAAGGTGCCCCGAGGAGCCCTGAGTCGCCAGACCCACCTCCGGGAGCTCTACCTACAGCACAACCAGCTGACGGACAGCGGCCTGCATGCCACCACGTTCAGGTGGGGCCTGGGGACGGGGGGTTCGGGGGTGCGGCCTCGTGCCGGCAGTAGGGGCTGAGGATTCAGCATCTGGGGGCCCCAGGCCTCCATCCCCCACCTCTGTATGACTCTTAACTCAAGGCCTCACTTGGTGAGCGCCTACGATGGGCCAGGCTCAGCCAAGCACCTGGCAGCATCCTTGTCTCCAACCACCCTGGGCCTCGGTCCTACTACCCAACGACACGGCTGCCACATGAACACCTCAGACCCAGAACTCTGTCCTGGTCACCCCTACATTTAACCCTCAGGCTGGAATCTGCCCTGATCACCCCAGGTTTACCTCCTACCCAGATCTCTCAACTCATCACCCCCAAGTTGGAATCTCCAGCTTACGTCTCTCAGGACCAGTCCTCAACACCCTCCACCAAGATCCACCCGGCCCCCCACTCTGGGTGCCCATCCCAACGCCAACCCTCTCTCTCCTGCCAGCAAGCTGCACTGCCTCGAGTACCTGGACCTGTCCCACAACCAGCTGGCTGCGGTACCCGCCGGCCTGCCGCACACCCTGGCCGTGCTGCACCTGGGCCGCAACCGCATCCGCTGGGTGGAGGCTGCCCGGCTGCGCAGCCTGCGAGGGCTGCGCTACCTGCTGCTGCAGCACAACCAGCTGGGGGCGGCAGGGCTGCCGGCCGGGGCACTGCGGCCGCTGCGGGGCCTGCACACGCTGCACCTCTACGGCAACGGTCTGGACCGCGTGCCCCAGGCGCTGCCCCGCCGCCTGCAGGTCCTGGTGCTGCCTCACAACCGCGTGACCACGCTGGGTGCCCGCGATCTGGCCGCCACGCCCAGCCTGGCTGAGCTCAACCTGGCCTATAACCGCCTGGCTAGTGCCTGCGTGCACCGCCGGGCCTTCCACCGGCTGCGGGCCCTGCGCAGCCTCGATCTGGCCGGCAACCAGCTGACCCTGCTGCCCTCTGGCCTGCCCGCCAGCCTGCACACCCTGCGGCTGCAGCGAAACCAGCTGCGGGCCCTAGAGGCTGAGCCGCTGGCCGGCCTGGACCAGCTTCAGGAGCTCTGCCTGGCGCATAACCGGCTGCGTGTGGGTGACATCGGGCCTGGCACCTGGCATGAGCTGCAGGCCCTACAGGTCAGGGGTGGGCTGCTTGGCCACGCTGAATGCCCGCAGGTGTCCCCACGGCCCCTCCACTCCCCGGCCTGCCTTCCCAGCAACTCCCCTGCAAGGCTCTGAGATGCCAGAAAGAGAGCTCCCACTGCAGGCCAGCCCTGGGGTGGATAAGACAGATCCAGCCCCCAGGCCTTTGCCTATGCTGCCCCTGCCACCTGCTCCTCCATGACCACCCCTCCACCTCCCCGGCCTCTAGCTCCTTCTGGGTGCTGTTGATGCCACAGAATTCAGGCCATCTGTGGGTGCCAGGCGCTATTCTAGGTCCTGGAGATGCCACTGGGCACAGAAGGACACAGCTCCTGGCCCCTGGCACAAACATCCTAGTTAGGGAGAGAGCAGTCAGCAACAATCATAAGCAAACAATTGTTAGAAGGGCACAAGGAGGTAAAGGAACTACCATCTTTTGTGAGGGATTAACTGAATCAATGGTTCCCACAGCAGGCAGGGACCCTGCCTATCTGGGCCCCCACCACCTAGAACAGGGCCTGCCCCAGAGGGGACTCAGTTTACCTCTGTCGAGGGCAGGATTTGGCAGTCACAAAGTAGCTGAGGGAGGGGGCAGGACCGGGCTGCGAGGAGAGCAGTTTGGGGCTTGGCTAAACGGGTGGCCCAGGGCCTGGGGCCGCCACGGCGCCATCTCTGCCCGCCTGCCCAGGTGCTGGACCTCAGCCACAACGAGCTGTCCTTCGTGCCCCCCGACCTGCCTGAGGCCCTCGAGGAGCTGCACCTGCAGGGCAACCGCATCAGCCACGTGGGCCCCGAAGCCTTCCTCAGCACGCCCCGCCTACGTGCCCTCTTCCTCAGGTGCCCTGAGGGTGGCAGGGCCAGGGGGCTCCAGCTGGACAAGGGAGGGCTGTGGGGGACGTGAGCAGGCCTGGGGGGGCACCTCCCCTCAAAAACGCCCTCACACCCACCTCTCGGTCCAGGGCCAACAGGCTTCACGTGACCAGCATAGCGCCCGAGGCCTTCCTGGGCCTCCCGCACCTTCGCGTGGTGGACACAACGGGTAACCCTGAGCCAGTCCTGGTCCAGCTGCCACCCACAGCCCCACGTCGGCCACGGGCAGAGGGCCCCTGAGCCTGGAAGGGCCCAGTAGCACAGCCCAGACACCTGGGGCTCTGCTGGGCTGTGGACTAAGGAGACAGCACCCAACCTGGGGCCTCGAGCTGGCTCTCCCAGGCCTGGAGAGCTGGGCCTGCCTAACCCATGCTGGCCAGGATGCTGGGACAGGGGTGCCACCTCGACACACAGGGAGCCCAGAGAGAGACTGAAGCGTGCAGCTTGCACACTGGATGTGCAGGCAACTCCGACCCTGCTGGACACTCCCCCACTGCCCGTGCACATGGACACAGCAACAATAAAGCCTAGCCCGGGACCTCCCTCGCCGTCCAGTGGTCAAAACTCCGCACTTCCACTGCAGGGGGCGCAGGTTCGATCCCTGGATGGGGAACTAAGATCCCACGTGCCACACAGTGCAGTCAACAACAACAACAAAAAGCCTAGCCCTTTCAAGTGCTCACCACCGACCAGGTGCCCTTCAGCTTGCGGGAGGGGCTCTCATCTTCCCTGCGTCCCTCAGAAGCTAAAGCTCCGCGATGCTAAGTGGGTCACAGGCAACTTGGCCCAGGTCCTGTGGCCAGTGAGAGGCAGGGCTGGCTGTCAAGGCCCTGAGACACACACGGGTCACCAAGCACCGCCACGTATGACCTGACCACACGCGTAAACCCAGATACGCCCAAGGCCACCAGCTGAAGAGACACTCGCAGATGCCCCCAGGTGGGCCACAGACGCTCATGACACGTGCACAGGCCTTCACACACGTCCTCGCAAGTGTGCGCGTAGCACACATCCTTCACGGGCACACCCCCTGCCAGCCTGCTCCTCTCGCAGGCACCTCTCCGTCAGCCCCCAGGGGAGCTGTGAAGGAGACCCAGCCCAGGCACTGAGGGCAGGAGCAAGAAACAAAGGCAGGACAGAGTGAGCCAGGTATGGCCCTGGCTGTTTATTCCGTGTGTCAGCCCTGGGGGCCCAGCTGGGCCAGGGCAACCCTCTGGGGAGCCAGCTGGGCTCTGGCTGGCCTCAGTGGCTTCTTTGGGGTGTGGGTGGGCGTCAGGGTTAAGGCTGGGGACGGGATGGAACTAAAGTGCTTGCAGGGCCCCTTGAGGTTTGGTCCTAGCCGCCCTCCCACCTCGGAGGCAGGCAAGGGGCCGTACACCCCTGGGCTGTGCAAACGGACTCTCTGGGGCCCACCCGGCCAGGCCTAGGTGAGGGGCACACACAGGCTGGCGCCCCCAACGTCCCCTGCCAGGGAGGCTCCAGTCGGGCCAGGTGGGCCCAGCCGGGGGGAACGTGTCCATCCAGAGCCGATTGTCCACTGATTGTCTGCTTGTCTGGTCTGAGGCTGTGGCCGTGTTAGCTCCTCCCAGCGCCGGGGCCTTGGGCCCGCTCCTGGCTCTCCAGGGGCCGCCCGCCCCTTCGGCCCCTCACCTGCGGAGCCGCTGAAGCTGAGGGGAGAGGCCGCCGGGGTCAGGGTGGAGGGGACATGGCCACAGCTGCCCACCCCATCCCCAATACCCAAGCCTCTCACCTCACTCTCGACCAGGTTCCGTCTATACAGTGCCTCCTTGGCAGCCTCCTGGGGGGCCAACAGGAGGTCAGTGGGCAGCCCCTGGCAGCCCCGGCCCCCCGATGCCCACCCGCCCAGCCCGCCTGCAGCTCACCCTGCTGCCATCATTGCCCAGGCGCCGGGCGGCCTCTGTGTAGAACTGCAGTTGCCGCTCCAGCTGGGCCATGTACTCTGAGGGAGGGAGGAGGTCACGATGGGGCCCCCTGCCTCGCCCCTCCCCCACATACTCATCCCTGAGATCCTACCCCGCCGGATGCCGGGGCCCCCCTGCTCCAGCTGTGCCCTCTGCCACTGGCTGCGCTGTATGATGTCCTGGTACTGCTGGGCCACCTCGGGGGGCACCGGCCGCCGTGCCTGCCTGAAGGCCAGGATCTGGGCGGGGGTGCAGAGGGAGTTGTGAGGGCCCTGCCCGGGCCTGCAGACCCCCAATCCTGCCCCACTGAGCCTTGCAGGATGGGTACCCACCTTCCGCTCCAGACGCTCTTGGTCGAAGGCCAGCACGCTGAGACTATGCAGGGGCCGGGCTGATCTATGGGGTTGAGGAAGGGTGAGGGGCTGCAGGGATCTCCCACCCCCGACCCCATTAATTCAACAGACACACTGGGCACTGGGGAACAGCGGGAGACAAGCCAGGCCCACCCCTGTGTTGCCGAGTCCACAACCTAATAGGGACAATGGTTGTACACCCAGGCAACTGTGATGCCAGGTGTCAGGGAGGGCTTCCTGGAGGAGGTGAAAGCCAGGTTGGGACTCCAAGGAGTCAGAGGTGGGCAGAGGAGCAAGGAGATAGTGTGGGGATAGGGTGCTCAGGGCACTGTAACACAGAGAAGCCCAGAGGTCAGTGAAAACTAAGTGTATCCATGAACCAACAGGAGGAAGTGGGGAGAGAGAAGGCTGGACATATTGACGGAGATCACAATAGGTCTTAAAGATCAAGCTGAGAAGTTTAAACTAGATGCTCCAGGAGAAGGGAAGCCAGGAAAGGTCTTGGAGCAGGGGAGAGACATGCTCCAATTTGTGCCTGATGGGAAGCTGTCCAGGACAGGCTGAGATAAGAAGAAGGGGGTTCTCTCCAGCACAGCCGGGTCCAGCCACCTACCTGTTCCCTGGCTCCCTCATAGGAGCAGGCACGGGAGGGGCTTTCCCTTTGGGCCCAGCGACCTGCTTCAGAGGACAGAACCAGTCTTGTGAGCCTTGGTCCCCTGGAACCAAGCCTCCCTCCTTCCCTGGGGCTGCCGATGGGCAGGGGTCTCACTGTGGGCACAGCTGCTGGCACGGGGTCGATGACCAGCCACCTCTCAGTTGTCGTCTCCAACTGCTGGGCCGTCAGTGGCTCCCGAATCCGAACCATCACCTCCAGCCGTCCCCCTGTGGGCCTGCGACCATCCAGGACCTGGGTGGGAGTGAGGGGAGCCTATTAGGAAGCAGACAGCGGCTGGAGGCTCAGGGCTGGGCTCAGGGAGACCAAAGCAATTTCCAAAATACGAGTCCATGGGTACAGCTGACACACCAGCTGCTCATAATGGAGCAGGGTGCTGAGGGTATTTAAGGCTGGGTAGCAGGGAGGTCTGGGACTCCCAGGGAGGGGCTGGGTCAGCAGAGGGGACCCTTGGGGGCTCAGGGCAGGCAGCACCTGGGTGGTGTTCATGAGCGGCACGGCCATACTGGAGCGGTCAGACGAATGTCCACCTCTCACCTCAAGGATCTCCCGGACCTCGCATGCTGTCTCCAAGGCATCCAGCTTCAGCTGGGCTGTGCCCAGGATCCGGTCGGTCTTGAACAGCCCCCTGTGTGTGTGTGACAGGGGACAGGATGATTGGCCCAGGGGAGCTCCCCCTCTTCTAGAGCCCATGCAGCACCTGTGGCCCCAGCTTACCCCTTGTGGACCACTTCGAACTTGATGCCTTTGGTCTGGATGGCCCTTCGGAAGCCACGGTGGCTGCGGTTGATGCAGAGTTTGAACTGCTCCTTGAACTCTGCCCAGGGAAGGAGGGAGGGAGGAGGGAGGGGTCAGGCTATGGTCTCATGGGCTTTCTGAGGAGGGCTGCCTCCCGCCCAAGGCTCACCAGGGGAGTCTGTGTTCTTGATCACACTGGTCTTGTCCTTCTGAGATTCTTCCTGTGACCAGACAGGAAGCAAAAAAGCTCAGGAGCTGAGGCCTGCCCTTGAACCCCGGCCAGACTCACTCCCGGGCCTGATGGGGCTTGAGCCCGTCCCTCCTCAGCTCCCCACATACCACATTGGGATAGGGGAAGTCGAACCGAACAAAGACATCCAGGTCACCGGGGGACAGCCCTGTGGGCAAATGAGGGTCAGAACTGGGCAGAGGGGTGGACCCCACGGCCCCACCCCTGCCTGACGCCCCCTCACCTGGGGGTGTGGGCAAGTTGATGCCCTTCACAATGAACAGGAGCATGTCGTTGCTGCTGAGGTCAGGGAAGATCCTTCCAGGAGGGCGGGCAAGAGACAGAGGCACCTCAGTGCCACTGCCTGCCCGCCTTCTCTGCCCTCCCCCCAGTCTCTTAAGGGTGTCTCAGCGCCTAGGCTTGAGTTTTAGGACCAGACAGACTAGAATTCTCTATCCAGGTCCACCACTGGCTACCTTTTGAGCCCTTTCTCCACTCTGCACATGTTTATTTGGGACTTACTCTGCACCAGCCAGCGGCCCTAGCTGCTGTGGGACCTTCTCTTTCTTTGACAGTATTTCTTGAGCATCTACTATATTATGCCAGCCAGTGTCTTCATTGCTGGGGATACAGAAGTAAACGAGGCAGACCCCATGCCTTTGCTCATGGAGCCGGGGCTAGCTGAGTGGACAGATGACCCATGAATATATAAATAAGCAAACAAAACAACAACAACTCTGCAGAGAATTAAATCAGGGGAGAGAGTGGAGTGTGCTCAGGAGGGGCTGCTTTAGACAGAGTGATCAGGGAGGGCCTCTCAGGGGAGGTAACATCACAGGTGACTCTGAATGTCAAGAAGAGGCCGCTACATGGTAACCTGCATGAGAGAGTCTGAGCAGAGGAAATAGCTGGTGCAAAGGCCCTGAGTGGGAACACGGCTGGTGTGTCTGATTGACCAAAAAGAGGTCTATGTGGCAGGAGGTGAGTGAAGTGGGGACAGTGGGAGGAGATGAAGTGATAGGGAGCCAGGCTATGCAGATGTAAAGGAGCCGGGGTAAGGGGTGTGGGTTATCCTAGATGGTGATGTTAGGTTATCCCAGTGGCTGCACCTAATGTCATCTACAAGTGGGAAAAAACAATCCCAACTCCCTGGGGTGTAAGAAGACTTAACAGGAGCAGAACCAAGATCACCATCCCACGGGTTCGCCCAGGCCTTTGGGACCAGGCACATGTCTGCAGTCACTAGATCATCCCCATTTCCAAATGTGTCACTGTCAACACCCTATTGCCGTCCTTCACTCGCGCGTCACGTCTGCCTCAGGACC